CTCCTCGAAGATTCACCAATCTTGTTATCATGATGAAGAGGAGGAAAAGTTGGAACCTTTGTAATTGGCCTCATGTATGGATGAAAACGGTGATTATAACGGCCACTTCCATGGACGGTAAACAACAACGTGTGAAAAGGTGGTGGTGGTGATCCATTGTAGTAAAAGTCTCTTTGTGATTGTGATGTTAGTGGTGGTATGAAGGTTGGTAATTGAGCATTGTTTTCATTTTGATTCCTCATCATAACGTGTTTTACAACTTTAATTATAGTTCCTGTAATTAATTGAATTTTGTGTTTGGGAAGTTCTAGTACAGTGTTAACAGAAGGTAATTTTATTGTACTATATTTTTGACTAATGCTCCGCTCGGGTTAATGTAAAGGGATTGACATACGAATAATAAAATACAACGGTGAAAAAAATAAGTTTAAGGTCACGTCTTTCCATTTGCAAAGCTCTAAATATCAAAATATATGATTTTTGTGTTGTGTGTGAAATTTTTACACAGCTTAGGGGTTTTTTTTTTATTGTTGTGAGAAACACGTTTAGGGCTTGGTATATATAACCAAGTTTACATGGAAATTAGGGTAGCCGAGTTTGCATGGAAATTAAGGTATTTTGTTAAATGTAGAAAATGTTGTAAAAAAAAAAAGACAACAGGATAGGAATGAAATAAAGGCATGAAATTGGTTCAAAAAAAAAGTGTACAAAATATTGTCTAAAAAAAGGCATGAAATTAGTGCGATGAATTTTTCTAGTATTATGTACAAATTATTGTCAAAAAGAAAAAGGTAAGAGATAGCAAAAAAAAGGCAAGAGAATATGAATGAAATTGGTGCGATCCATTTTTTTGTATTAAATAAGTGTGCAAAATATTTATTTAGTACAAAAAATTGTCAAAAAAAAAAATCCTAAACAAGATAATACAAGTGCAAAAGAGTAGCTTTAATATAGCCTTACATAGATAAAAACAAACTAAACAAAATGACTCTACTTACTAAAACGTGAATAGCGGAGCAACTGAGTCAATCCCACTAGCCCTCCTAACAAATAAGAATTATTAATTACATAATAGGAACAAATACTAACAACTACAACTATGACAGCTAATTACAACACGTTCAACATTCCCTCCCTTAAACTATTTCTACTATTGCAATTAATTTATGTATCAACATAGCAGATTATGTATCAGACTCTCATACAATAGTCTTATCTCTATCAGAAGCATCAACCTCTTGTTCTTCCCCAACCAAACCCAGATATAACATCAACATCTTCTCACCTCCACCACCTAACCCTTAATCTAAATGAATGATTATGTTGACTTAATATATTTTCTTGCATAAGACTATATTTTTTTTAATGACAAAAGGGGGAGAGAGAGACCTAAAGTATTTTACTGAGTTTGAGCGCAGACTAGAAAAATATAATTCCTTTTGACTTAAGTAAATTTTTGCTCTGAATGAATTTTAATCTGGCTTTGAAAGTTTTTATATGCGTCTAAAATGAATTTCATTAATCTAGTTAAGATTCAGGTAGCTTGCAAACCTCGCTGATTACGGAGCATCATATAATATTTTGGGCTAAGATGAGAACTATAGGAGTTGTCAATGGTTCAAGGAACATATTATATTGTTTTCACTCGAGTCCTTGTAATTCATTTTTATCCTAAACCATGCAACTTCATATGTGTTTTGAGTGTTTTGTAGTGATAAATCTTGTAAATCGAAAAATTAAGACATCACGTCAAGGATATGAATATTGAAGATCAACGACTCTTAAAAAGGTTTTTTTTAAGACAATACAAAGTGAATAATAATCATTTCAAGTTCGTAGGAGAATTTAGATGCAAGAACGATCGAAAATGGGACGAAAATGCAAGATTTCACACACATGAGCTGCCTCAACGGCCTCCTGCGCATAGGCCATGGACCATTAGCACATGAGGCACCGATTCCACTTCCACATGCGCCTCCTGCGCCAGTGTATGCGCCATCTGCGCACAACCCCGGGAAGAAATTGCCTGCAGCTTATTTTTCAAGCTAAAACAGTGGAAAAAAGCACATTTTTCTTCTCATAACCCTAAGTAACTATTTGCTATAAATAGAGATCCTTGCATTATTCATTCAGAAAGCTAGAGGTTCAAGGCAAGGGTCAAGCATCAGAGTTCAAAGGCAGATGGTCTTCATCCTCATCTTGTTCTCTCTATGGTATATTTTTCTACTGTTTTGTTATGATGTTGCCATGAACAACTAAACCTCTTTGATTAGGGTTATAAGATGAACCCCATTTTATTTGTTGGATTCAATTAATAAAGTTTATATTCGATTATGTTTTTATTCTGTCTGATTTAATTCATTCTTGCCTAAGCTTAATGCTTTTTGAATTGAGAATTTGTATTGATCAGTAATCATAAAAATTAATATGTAGAGAATTAGTAGGATTGACAACCCAAATTTATTACTTTGTTCATGGCAGTTCCAATTGCTTATTTCTTAATTATAGTTAATGAAATTGAGTATGAAACTTCATAATTTCTAAAGTTCCTTTAACGTTGTAATCTTGGTTATCTTACCACACATGTTGTGGTTAGGGTTAATACGATTTCTAAATTTAGTTTCTTAAATCATAAGTAGACATCATATAACTGATGTATTACTGAGTTAATTTCAACAAAGACGAAAGGGAGATTCAAGGATTCCTTAATCGTCGTTAATCATCTAATCACAAACCTAATCTCGCATTGAGCATGTCAATTAAATCCTGCAAACCTATTCAAATCTCTTTTAATTTATCTTTTTTAAAATAATTTTTTCTAATTGCTAAGTTGAACGACAATCCTTGTGGAGAACGATAAACTTACTACTTTGTTTATTGTTACGATTTGGTGCATTTGCCCATTTCGTCCATCACTTACCCTTTGAATTATCCGACTTAGAGGGAGCTTAGAAAACTTAGACCCTGAAGTCAACTTGTTAATTAATTAACAACAATTGTTCTTAAATATTTAGGTTTTCCATCATTAAAAATGGGGAGATTGTTTAACCAAATTGGGTTTTGTAGGATGCCTCTGAATTCTTGATGATAACCAAGTATAAAAAAAAAATAGGATATGCTAATTTATGTTCAAGCATGCAGGACCATCTATTAAAATTCCAAGTACTAAATCAAGTTTTGGTTACAAAAGAACAAGATTTTGAACATATACAGGAGCATCTAAAACTTATGAGAAGTTAAATATTTGAATCAACTCTGATGAAGTGAAGCCTTGAAGACTAACAAACTCTGAAGGTCACATAAGCATCAGGAGCCTGTGATTGGTTTTGTCGTCCTTTGATGGAAGGTCACTATCAAAATATGATAGTATAGTTTGTCTTCTTCAGACCATGTTTAGAAACAAACAAAGAAACTTCAAGAGAAATTGGAATAAAACAGATAATTCCTTTTGGAGCAAAGGAATTTCAAATGACTACTCAACGATATTATTCAAATCAAGTAACATTCCAACGTTTTGGATTAAGCTTCTCAGGGACTCAAATTCATGCGTTTGCAGCTCTCCAACGTCTCTAAGATTTCCTACTATATCAGGAACTGAAGACTTGAAGAATAAACACAACTCTCTTAAGGGTCGTCACTTTTCTTCTGAACACATCAGGGTCGTTCCTATAAATTCGAAGGCTCGACTCTGTAAGTAAAAAGAGGTCCATAATAAAATAAAAATGCATTTTTTTTAAAAGAGCAATGTTTTAGTTAAATTGAAAATGAAATTAGTGAACATAAGAATATCATTATTAACACAAAAAATATCCATATTAGAATAAAATTTTACAAGTTCAGGCAAATTTGAAATTTTTTTAGCACCAAATTTGAAATTTGAAACTAGGGGAAAAATTTGTAATTTTAGGAAATTTTATGGGTGATTTTGTAATTTCCATTCAATTAGGGGTCAAAATTTTATTGAAAATTTGAAATTCTTAGTTTTCAAGGGTGTAATTTGAAATTCTCTAGATTTAACTTGAACAAAATATTTTACAAATTTTCTATCTTTCTAAAAATTCTCTAAATTATCATCGAAACATTAGAATTCACTTAAAAATATTTGACCTCTAGTCCATTTAGATCAATTCTATGGTAACATATTTATAAGTACATAAAATAAAAATTAAATCTTGTAAAAAAATATAAATTAAAGTCAAATATTTATAATAATTTGATTTATTTTTTGACTCAATAAATGATCGGTTGAGAGTAATAACATTTTTTTTATTTTTTAAGAAGTTAAAATGAAATTATTACCAAAGAATCAAGATTTCTCAACACAAGGCATGTCAAGAAGAAAATGCTAAATCATGAGGTTACAAAAACAAAGTCAAATGAAAGAACATAACAAAGAAATTAAGTTATAACTCTTTTTATTGCGATAACATGTCTAAATTATGAACGGTATTTTTTACGAAATTTTGATTAAGATTAAAATTAAAAGTAAGTATTTGTGACTCTCAAATTAGTGGTATTAATGCTCAATCACTACAGATAGGAACACTACGTATAACTAATATACTGCCGCGGTTTTTCACTCTCCCGCTCGGTTTTTTCTCTCTCTCGCACAGGACCCTCCGATACTCAATCAATTTCCCTTCTCACCATCGAAGAACTCTCTCACAGAACCCTCCGTAACCGTAACCGAAGCTGGGTAACCATCGAAGAACTCAATCAATTATTCAAAGGTATTCTCGTTCTTTTTCAATTCCAGTTCATTGATAAATCTCATGCCTTTGATCAATTTGTTGTATCGTTTGGGGATTAGGGTTTATAATCTTTGAAATATTTGTAGTGATTTTTAAAAACTTTTTCTGTTTCAATAAATTAAACCCTAAATCACACTATATATTTTTAACCAAAGCTACACCAGTTGCTTTCTTTGTGATTGAATTTGGGTTGCTTTAAATTTGATTAATTTTCTGCCAATTTTTTTAGTTGTGAGAAAGAAGAGAACCATGGGGAGAAGGAAACCCAGGGTATTTTTCAAAAATATCCCCATAGACTTTCCCACAGAGCGTCAATCAAATATGCCCATAGACCTTCCAATAGAGCTTCAATCAAATATCTTTGATAGGTTGTGTGCGAAGGATCAATCAAAAGCTATGTGTGTCTCACACTCATGGCGCGATTTCATCCTATATTCAATATTACCGAAGGACGAATCACAACAATCTTCCGTGAGCTTGTTTCCAATTAAATGTCTAGATCTGAAATTGCAACAACTCTTCCATTGGTGTTCTCGAGTAATGTGTTGCAGAGTCGGACCTAACAAACTTATTGACTCATGCAACGGATTACTCTTGTTTTATCACAACTATGGTGGGGCTCAGAACCTCACTCATGGTGTTTATTACTACTATGTGATGAACCATGTCACAAAACAATGCGTGGCTGTTTCAAAGCCAACTGGACAAATTTCTAGAGCGTATTCTTATGCTACTCTAGTATATGATCCTACAAAGTCTAGGTTTTTTCAAATTGTGAATTTTCAGGGACATCGTCATGTCAATGTTTTCTCCTCTAAAAACGGCATTTGGACTACACAGACTCTTATTTTGCCTAAATATATTATTGCGTCTAGTTGGACCAAAAAATCTGTTTACTTCAATGGATCACTGTACCGACTCTCTCGCTCAGGACATTTGGTGAAAATTAAAGTTGATATTCAAGAGAATGTTTTAGAACAAACTGAGGCAATAACACTCCCTCAGGATTGTCTTTCTTTTAACTGCCAATGGGAATTAAGTGTCAAAGGTGACAAGTTGCTTTTTGTCATGTCTAAAGGTTTGAATTTTGTAGTTTACGAACTCGTTGAATGTGTTTCAAGTGGTGTTACATCCTGCTCATGGTGCACTAGTCATAGAATCCAAGATGATGGTTCTAAGTGGTATTATCTTAATAAATTGTTCAAGCTCTTGTCCTTTCACCCTTACGATGATGTGGCATTTTTCAAGGGCTATAATCACCTCTTTTATTACATCTTTATTGGTAATAATACCATCACAGATCTTCAGCAGGTTCCATCTTGTGAAATTCTTTATGACTATTTAGAGTTTTGTGGGATCCCTTTGGTTGAATGCTACTCCCCTTTCGCTTGCCGCTTAAATGAAGAGGTAATTAACTTGTCTATTATTTATTTCTTAATTATATATTTATTTTATTTGTTATCTTAGTTATATATTTAATGAACTATTACCAGATACCAATAAATCTAACAAAATGAATCATATTTTAATACCACAGTAACTCATATGAAGGGTGGTCGATTTAATTTTAAATCCTAAGTTAGTCAACAACTTCTACATTCTTGAATACGAGATGATTACCCACATATAACATTAATTCCATGCATTCATGATTTTAATAAAATAACTATTTTTTTATTGCAGCATCCAAGAGTTTTTCAACGGCCACCCATTCCAACAGTGATTAGGGTGATTTCTGGATAAGCTAAAAATTGAAGATTAGGGTGAAGGTTTTTATATATAATTGAAATTTGTGGCATTATGGTTGTTTCTTGTTTTGTTTATTTATTGTATTTCGTTAATGTAATGCCTCGTTGGCCGTTTGAAAATAAAAAGTATACTACTAAAGGTAATAAATAAAACAAAAATTGTCTTCTTTAGTAGGGAGTGCAATAAACTTCTTGTTGAATGATGATGATCAATTGTTGTGATATAAAATTATAAACAGCTAAATGTAAATGTTTGATTAAGTGATGGGTTGTCTTCCATTCAACGCATATTTTTACGACTCGAGCCTGAAGGTTACATAAATGTAAACTAATGGGTTGTCTCTTATTCAATGCTTGTTTTATGTCTCTAGCTTGACATAACTCATAACTAAAAAGCCACATAAAGATGAACTTGGAAAAGAGTTCGATCGGATCAAAGTCAATTTGGCTAAGCATCTTAAATACGTCTCTATTTTGCTTTGCTTGGTGCTCCCATTTTGAATTCCTTAATCTGACTTTGCTGCTTTTTGTGTATTGTGAGCTTCTCTCATATATGTGACACTCTAAAAGTCCTATATTTCCCTCGTAATAATCATACAAAAAGTAGTGGCTAGACCTACCCTTTCCTCTCACATAGCCGCCTCTAATTATGGATCACCTTCAAACTTATGCATGGGCATATACATAGCTTTGCTCGTCTCCACCATGGCATTAGCCATGCTCAATGCCAAGTTGTCATACCTTTCATGAGGTTTTCTAACCTCTTCCAGCTCCACTCCTTGTGGGGATTTCCTAGGTGTTGTTGGTGGTACCAATGGTGTGTCGGTCAACCTCTCAAGCGATCCTACATCCATAGTATTTGCTTTTCTTAGTGGTAGATCATTATTTGCACTTTTTACACCCGCACCCTCACATAGTCCATTTATAATGCTGCAATGCCTAAAAATGAGGACATTTCCTTCAATAGCAATTCTCCTCAAAATTTTAGCTATAATTCGCCCTACTTCAATGTCATCAGCATTCATTATTGCTTGAACCGCGACATATCTTATAAGTCGAAACTCGGATGAATTTTCGGTACTTTATAGTGTTTGCACTAGAAATTTTTGGTACTTTAGACTAAACTTCTTTGGCAACATACCCTTAGTTTGCGTCAACCACGATGCTCCCTCTACTTATAATTCCCTCTTTATGTCTTTCAAATTCTCAATTTCATCTAGACATGTACTTTCATTAAGTTCCTCTCTTCTTGTTTGAATTCCACATACCAATGGTGCCTGATGAGTTTCAAGTAAAAGTATTAATAGCATCCAGATCAAACCTTACTTCCCTCCCATGTATGAAGGAGGCATAAGGATTTGTATCCTACTTACTTTGGTATGCGTCTGCAAAGAACTTAGTAGCAATTGTACAATTCGAATTTTGAATCATGTTATTCAACCTAGTCCATCCCCATTGTTCAAGCTCCTCTTGAACTCCGGGAATTGCAAATCTCCCACTTTTGAAAGCCCTCTCTTCCACAAATTTCAAATGCTTAAATTTTTTGTATCTTTTATTTTGTGGTTCTCCCTTAAACAGAAAGGAAAAATCTCGTCCTCTTTTCATGATGGAGTGGGATTTAATCAAATGAGGGTTGTTAGGAGAGAAAGTAGTGGAAAATGGGTTAGATAATTTGTGTGTAATGGAGATAAAAATAAATAAATATGTGATTAAGGAAGGAATTGAAGTTGTTGGTATGCTAGATAAATGAATTTAAGTAGAGGTTTTGGGTTAGATATGGTTTTGGGTAAAGGATTTCGATGGTGAAGGTTAAGTTTCAAAGTTAAAAAGTAGATGAATAAAGGAATTGGTTGATGAGAGATTTGGCTTATGTTGAGAGTTTTGATGGGCGAATATGATTTGTTTGTTGTTTGTGAAACATAATCCATAGTTTTCGGAAGTGATTTTGGTGAATTAGGTTTTTGGGTAGTGTTATTGTGAAGTGTTTTTGGAGATTAATTGTGACAAGGGTAAAAAATAGGTTTGTGAAAGAAAGGGGCCGAAGTCCCTTTTGTTCTCCCAGGCCTCACAAGTTTTGGGCAGTGTTGGTGCGTGGCTTCACCGGTGGTCGGATTAGACAAGTGTACTAAATCATTTACTAAATTTGTTCACAATTCATGTTACTTATTTTAGTTTGACGATATAAAATAAATGAGTTAAGGGTTAGATATTGCAAATTTTTATCTGTTTGCAACAAAGCAAGTTACCTGTTTGGTTGCAGAAAAGTAAGCAGCGGTTAAGACTATTTGAATCCTCTATTTATTTTGTTGGAATTAAATAACATTCATGTCGCATTTAGTTATCTTAAATACAAGTGATGCGGCCGTTGGGATGTTGTAACTTAGTTTGTTGCCAAGCTGCACCTGCTTACCGCACGGTGATCCTTACGTGCGGGGTCTATACTATCTCGGTTGATATATGTTTATCCCTCCATTGTCTAACTATACATGTTGATCGCACGGTGATCGTTACGTGTGGCGTCTTACCAATTCAAAGGTAATTGAAACATAGACTTAAATTGGCATTCCTAGATTTCCAAAGGCAATGAAAGTCAATGTTTTTGAAGGTCTTCCGATATATGAATCTTAGGACATGACTCTTCTTCTCCTCTTAGTATTTACAAACTGGCAGCCCTACCATCGTCTACCGTACAAGGGTTCGAGGATAATGGTTCTATCAGGATCATTCACTCCCTAGAGACACTTGTTTCCGTAATTAATAATTTGTTACATCATAAGTTCAGCAGATTATACTCAATATTAATAATGTCACCTCCTAAGTACTTACGACTAGGGTCAAATCGTTTTTGGTATCTTTGGTCTAGTTATTAACTACTTACTTCCTAAATAGGTAGATATAAATATAAATATATAAGCATCAATATGAGGCCTTGTCTCAACCTAAGTACATAATCTATGGTTGCGCTCCTTTGAAACAAACTAATCCTAATAAGACTTAATAGCAACAGAAAATATACTAAAATAAACGACATTAAATTAAATAATTATCCAACAAAACAAGTAGAAGTTCATCTTAGAACCCTAGCCTATAAATATCTAGTTACATATGATAACTAAGACAAAATACAAAAAGATAAAAACATACGTACCCTAGAAAATAAGGAGAAGATAGAACTCCTCCTGAAGCTCCTAGAATCGCCTTCCTCTTGAACTACTCCATTTCTGAACGAGAAATTATGAATGAGGTGATGAGATAAAACCGCAAGTGCACGGTCTTACCGAAGTAGTAATAAAAGAGCATCGTTCCGACAGGGAGTTATGAATTCAATTAACTTTAAATAATGATTAGATGAGAGTTTGAGATTATAAAGTTTGGATTTTTAATTAAAAGAAAATAATAATAATAATAAAAAGGCGCATTGGGATTATTGGTTCGTCATAATGACAAACCTTTCACAAACCAAACTATTAAACTTAGAACCTTATGTTAGACCTAATTTCTAAAGACATGTTTCTCTTATGTTCCTTTAGCAATCAAGCATATTTCGCTTACTTGATTACTATTAGATTTTGGTTCCTCTAGCAACCAAGCCTATTTCGCTGACTTGATTACTATTAGAATCCTTGAAGTTCAAAACTTATATGTATCAAGGAATGCAAAGACTATTTCGCTGCCTTTGCAATCCTTGTCTAAATTCACTTGTTCGAATATCAAAACTTCACTTTCGTTTTATGAATTGATATTTGAGATGATGGATTAACAATTATCAAACCCTCCACTTTCGTTTCCACAGTTTGATAATGATTAATTCATGTTAAAACAGTGAATTTAGATTAGAAATTAAGGTTACATAAGATTAGGGTTAAAGCTTGGTTTGATTAGGATTATGTCATTAGACTTATCCAACAATCCCAAGACAAGAGAAGTCTACTCACTAACGTTCATTGTAGACATAAAAGAGAAGAAGAAGAAGAAGAAGAAGAAGAAGAAGAACAGAAAATAACGGTTGAACTTTTATTCAAAGAAACAATTGTCACTTATTATTTCCAAGAATAAAAGATGAATATTTGTGATGGCTAGCTACTCTATTTATAGTCTTATTGTCGACTTAAAACCTAAGCAACTATTCACTAGAATGTTCCACAAGAAACCACGGGCTTTTCGATCAAAACAGGCAGTTGGATCATGAAACAAAAGCAGCAAAAGAGACTCTGGGGGGGTGGCACGACCTTGCCAACTGGTGGCACTACCCGTGCCAAGCTTTAGACTTGGGGAAACATATTTTTGTCTTCAATCTTTCGTATTTTCAACCCGAATCAGCTCCTAATCCTCTTTCTTTTGCTCCAAGACTCAATCTATCAAATATTCATTCATGAAATATAGTAATATGAAATTAAAGTAAAATAGCTCTAAAAGGAAATAATATTTAAATAAAATAAACTTAAATCTAAATAAAATGAAACTAAATATTATACTAAAACGACTAATTATTGACACATCAAACTCCCCACACTTGAATCTTTGCTTGTCCTCAAGCAAAAGGCATAAACATAGTAGCATAAACAAGATTATAATATGACAATTCAATTAAAACTTATGTCTCCTCAAAGGCTTTTAATTCAAGCGTACACTAATCACAAACTCAAGCATTTCTTGTAATCTTTATTCAACCCAACAATCAAGTTTCAAGTGAGTGTGTGTGTGTAGTCCAACCATTTTCTTGCTCCTGTATAAGATAGATATTATGACGAAACATGTTCTAATCTTAGCACTAAACCAACCGAGAAAAGTCATTTCTTCATTTCATATAAGAGAGATGAGAATTAGCTAGATTTATTTGACAATTTAAACGTTTTGGGGGCTGCAGATTGCTTAGGGTATACCATTTTCTCATAGGAAGTCTGCGAGGGGGTATCCTTTCCTCCTAGATTCCATGACCACCCTAAGTAGTGCTGCAAATTTATAAGCTAAAAGACATCATCTTTACATAGGAAGTCAGCGAGGGGGTATCCTTTTCTCCATGTGCTAATGATGTCTCCTAATTTTGCAATTAATTCTTTCCTTCTTTTAGAAGGATTTATGGAAGCTACTTTAAGTTATTAGAGAAACATCACCTTCACGTAGGAAAGTCAGCGAGGGGGTATCCTTTTCTCCATGATCCAGTGATATCTCTTGTATAAATATATTTGCTTCCGCCCCACTTTGATTTATCTATTTATTCCCCACACAAACTTATACTACTTCTGCCCCATTTTTTAATGAACTTCAAAGTTTTTTTTAAATACATCTTATGCTGAGGAAAACATTTTATTTAATATTTAATCTAATTTTATTTTAGCTTTGTAAAAATATATTATATTTTTCTTGTATTTGTTACACACTTATCAAAATTTTGACAACGTTATAGCTTGTTAAAAAAAAATTGTACTATCTTTCTTATATTTGTTACACACTTATCAAAACTTTGACAAGCGTTAGACTTCTTCAATGACTTTCCCATCACAAAGAAAAATAATGCACAAAAAAACTAGAATAGAAAAGAAAAAATTCCTTTTAACTATCCCACTCTCAGCAAGTATGATGTGAAATTTCATCATATCATACCAGCTGGTCCATTTCTTCTTCTCAAAGAACAAGTACTAAATCCAACGGCTGAGATCTATCTCCTCCCGTGGGTCCCACCGAGAGTGCATGAGCATTTTCACGTCGCGAGTTTATACCGTGACTCGGTGCGTGAATAAAACTCGTTCTTCTTCTTCTTCTTCTTCTTCTTCTTCTTCTTGACTCTCTCACTTCACTCACATTCTTCTTCAACCTTTCTCTCATTGTGAGCATTCTGGAAGAGGTTACGTTTCTTTTTCATTTTTTAATTAAAATGTTAAAGAATTGTATTGAATTTGTTTTTGTAATTTGATACAGAGGTGGAAGAGCATTATCGATAATTTCAGTGGAGAGTGAGTTCATATATCTACCATTTCCAACGAAGGTAGAAATTCGATTTTGTTGCATGTTAGTTTTTCTTTTGTAGTTCTGAAATTCATCGTTGTTTAACACTGATGAACGATTTATCTTTTGAATTTAGGGTTTTTCGTTACAGTTTTGTGAATTTTCAAATGGAAATGAGTGAATTCTGTTTTTTTTATTGCATGTTAGTTTAGTTTTGTTGTTTGTAATTTCGTATAGTCATTGTTGTTTGACACTATCGGAAACTCACACACAAATGCGAGGTCCGGGCTCGAACTTGTATGCAGGTGTCTAACCTGTTTGGTTGTGTGTTTCTATTTTGAGTTGTTTTAGAATTCGAGTGTTCTTCTTTTTAATTGTGTTCAGTTTTCGACATTGTTTGGATTAACAACTTATTTGCAGCATATAACACAAACATTTATTATGCTAAGCGCTAAAAGTCCTGTTTACATTGGCTTTTTGAGCTTATCCACTGGTATAAGTCATTAAGTTGTATGACACTATTTGAGAGAACTTAGGAAAACAACTTAAACTATTGTCCATAAGTTGTTCTCAGCTTATTTTCATAAGTTCTCCAAGATAGCTTATGAAAACAGTTTATAGCTTAAACAAAACAATTTCACTTTATTTTATATTTTGCTTTAGAAATAGCTTGTGTAAGCTTATGCGTAAGTGCTTATCATGATAAGCGTTTGTGCTATAAGCTGTAAATAAGCTGTTTATTCAAACGAGTTAAAATAAAGTTAGGAGAACCTATAAAAATAAGCTGAAAGCAACTTATAGACAATGTTTTACACTATTTCGTAAGCTGATGCTTTCATTATGAAATCACCATTCTAAATAAAGTATAATATAACTGATCTGGACATTGAGCGGCAAGGAAGCATAGACGTTTATATGTTGTCTTGCTGTTTGAGGTTCATGATAACTCTGGTTATGTTGTTCAATTTGAGGTTCATGCTAATCTTCTTGTTATGTTCTTGAGCAGCCCGGAGATCTGTACCTGGCAAATTGAGAGATTAAAAATGGTATGTTTTTCTTGCCAATTTCAAAATCACATTCCACATATGCTTATATTTTGTTGCTTTACGGTCCTTACTTACAAGTACGACTGTAGTGTCCCTTGGAATATGAGTAACTGTAATTGTTTTTCTCTCCCTTGCTTTTCGTAATTGTTTTATATATTTCTGTGATAATTGTGTAACAATTTTGATTATTGTGTAAAAATTATTGCAGGGTGATGATTCTAGTCTCGAGAGTGACAATTTTGATTGGAAAACTGATGATGAACTTGAGATTGAGAGCTTTAATTCCTTAAGTTCAACTATTCCAAGTAGACAAACTATTACTGCTGCGTCTGTAGAAGTAAGCTTTTATGTACCTTTTTCTTTCTGGAAGTTATCTGTATGACAGTATGAGCAGTTTAATATTATGAAACTAGAAGACCAAATACTGTTAACTTAAGTGATAAACCAAAAGATTGACTAACCTACCAGGTCATTGCAGAAAAAGAAGCTTTGAGAATTGTGACCTTACCAAAGTAGTTTTACATATATTATACATATTTCAATTTTGTGGATTATATACATTTCTGATTTCATTGTAGCTAGTTCCTAAAAGTGTTTTAAACCCAATGCAATTACCTACACCTGATGTTTATCCAATCCAATTACCTACACCTGAAAGTGTTTTAAACCCAATGCACAATCACATGCATCATTGAGAAAAGTGCATATCGAAATATGATTTTTCACATGAAATGGAATCGCTTTAATACTAACATATATTCTCTCCCCTTGAAGGCAAGGTCCTCTGCAGGTCCTTCTAATACCAAGGTCTTGGACCATTTCATTAGCATGGGATTTCCTGGAGAAGTTGTTTCCAAAGTAATCCAGGAATATGGTTAGAGCATGCACTGCTTTACTCTATTTAAGTGTAGATTACTAGATTTTGATTCATAAAGCTCGCAACTAATACTGCTCTGCTGAAATCCAGGCGAGGAAGATGAAGATAAACTACTTGAAGAGATTCTCACATATTCAGTAAGTTTATTTTTTCTTCAGCCTTTACTGTTAGCATTCTGTCGTTTTCCCTCAAAACTACTATCATGTTATACCCAATATGCAGTATCCCCCCACTTTGAGTTCCACAACGAAAGGTTGCTGCCTTGTGACTCAGAAGAGGTCACTGGTTCAAATCTTTGGAAATAGCCTCTCAATTTGCGGGGGACTCTCATTTTGTGGTGGTAAAGTTGTGTACATCTCCCTCCCCAGATTCCACCTGGTGGGACTGGGAGCCTTGTGGTGGGAGCCCCGTGGGATGTTCTTTATGTAGAATAATATTTTACCAATTCCCAGATTCTACTACCTTGATACACTTGAAATAATATTTTACCAATCTCAATGATATCCATAGGACTGTGGCTGTGCTTGCTTTACTTTTTTTTTTTAAGAACTAATTTGCAAGATAGCCATAATAAAATTTGTAGGTTCGTGGACAGTCAAAACAAGTAGGTAGCCAATATTACTTATCTACGTGTGCTAATATAAATGCATATTCCTTTGGCTTTTCATTAGCTCCCTTTTCCCCCATTTCACCTCTTTGGTTCTTTTTGACCTGTGTTTGGACTTCTATCTGACATTTTTAATGTAATATTTACTTGTTTTTCAATTTTGGTTGCTACTGTCATAGTCATCTTTATAATATTTGTTTTTCTTCATATTTCCAGGCTCTAGAAAGTTCTTCTCAGCAGCATCAGCAAGTTGAACCAGATCCCACCTCTTCAGAGTATGCAGGGAGCTCATGGGATGATTTATCAGATGGGAATTCTTTTTCTGATGAAGTAAACACCGTTCATTGTGCTTTGATATTTTGTTTTCCAGAGTTTGCTATTTGATTCATCTTATCATCATGCTATTTTGGGTCTTAAGTGTAATGTACTCGGATTGTTTCTATTCTGCGACAGGGTATGCGGTAATAGACTTGATACCTTTTTTAAAACATGAGATAAATTCATATGGTTTGTGTTTTTTCCTTGTAGAGATTCTGAGTAACTGATAAAGTTTCTCTTTTGTCTACTTCAAAGAAAAATGAAAGTATCTTTGTCGTGTTTCCACTTGCTTTTAAATGCATTTATCGGAGGCCTCGAATTGAATGTCGTAGGAGCAAATATTTTGCTGGCTATGTATTTTAAGTTATGGGATGATTGTTGTTTTTTTGCAGGAAACACCAAAATCTGTTTCTAGGAATGATGATACACTGCTGTCTCTGGTAAACATGGGATTCAAGGAAGAGGAGGCTTTAATGGCCATAGAAAGATTAGGTGTGCTTCGTATTATTCAAGGCTTTTTGCTTTTTAGTTTTGCAAAAATGCTAGACTTTTTTGCTTGAATTGGTTCTTGTTGAATATTCCATGCCATCTTCACTTGATTTCCAATATCTTGATTCAGTGTTAATCGTGGAAAATAGCAGATTGTTACCATTCCCTATGCAACAGTGCTATAGCGCCACTATAGCCTCTGTTTACAACCATTTATACTAAATAGCGTATCGCGGAACAATAACTGTTTGTCTAAATTCCGCTACGGTATAGCAACGCCGCTATAGCTGTGCTATTTTACAACACTGCCTTGATTTCTGTCCCCTGGAAAAGAAAACTTAGAGCCATTTTATGAACTTCTCAACAAGTACTTATAGGACAAAAGTTGAAATGGTCTTGTAATGACTGAGTTTTTGAATAGTATACATTGAGATCAGACCATTTCATTGGACTCACTGTTATTGCATAATACTGTAGGCCTAGACTCCTCACTTGACGATCTGGTCGATTTTATTGGTGTTGCTCAACTGGTGAAAGAAGAAGATTCCCTTCTGCCTCCTGAAGATAAGGTAGTAAGTTTATGCATATGTTTTTCTGATTTTTTTTTCCTTACAATAATTTTATCCACCATTCATATATTACATTTTGAACTTAATTTTTGACAGCAACAATGCAGCGGGCATCCAAAACCAAGAAAGCGTAGTCTTTATGAATATGAAGTGCTAGGAAAGAAAAAACGAAAGGTGTCTGACAAGAGAACTCCATGTGAAGAGGAGGATGATGGCCAAACACTTAATCTGCCCAACCCAATGATGGGGTTTGGGGTTCCCAACGAGCCAAAGTCTATAATTACACACCGGACACTCCCTGAGAATGCTATCGGACCTCCCTACTTCTACTATGAAAATGTGGCAATAACACCGAAAGGTGTTTGGCAAAAAATATCTAGGTTCTTGTATGACGTGCAGCCGGAATACGTAGACTCTAAATATTTTTGTGCTGCGGCTAGGAAAAGGGGATATGTTCACAATCTCCCTATTGCCAATAGATTCCCGCTTTTACCTCTTCCACCACGGACAATACTTGACGCATTCCCCCCATTGAGGAGATGGTGGCCATCATGGGATCCTAGAAAAAATCTGAATTGTTTGCAAACGGTACACGGCAGTGCACAAACCACCGACAGAATCCGGAAAAAGCTGGAAAGTTGTGAAGAATTTGAAGAACCATCGGAATCTGTCAAGAAGTATGTTTTAGAACAATGTCGAAAATGGAATTTGGTATGGGTGGGCAAGAATAAAGTTGCCCCCCTAGAGCCCGACGAAGTGGAAATGCTGCTGGGCTTCCCTAAGAATCATACAAGGGGGGGTGGAATCAGTCGGACCGACAGATTCAAATCACTTGGAAATTCTTTCCAGGTATGAAAATACTCTCTCTCTCTCTCTCTCTCTCTCTCTCTCTCTATATATATATATATATATATATATATATA